CGTTGAGGAATAAATTGATTGCTTATCTTTAACTGATACAATCTGAGAGTTTGTTGATTTATGTAGGATAACATATATTGTACGTTTAATGTTATCAACTTAATATAAATACTATGGTTAACCTGATTTGTTATTCATCGTTAAAACGGACAAGATATAAATGAAACCAAGTCTTTGAAAATATCACGAGAAATAGCAGAAAACTTTTGTAGAAGCAATAACACAGGTTACACAGTATGTATGAACAGGCATTCATTGGAAACATTATGTATGAGAATGTATGGTTATAAAAAGATCAGCACCGATTTAATGAATGGATATTTTACCAGAGTAATTAAAAGATAACATAAATAAAAAAATTCAGTTTATATTTGAAAGATCTGTGGCAGTATATGATCAAAGTTTCAATTGTTGCAAATCTGTAATCGACAAATTATGTATTACATTTTAGTTTTCGCAAGTAATAAGCGGCGTAAATCATCACTTGACTTGTTGGAATAGTTTTTATGTTGATCGAATCTTGACTTGTTGATCAAATCTCCTATTCTGATTAGGTGTTGTTTGAAATATTCTGTTACTGCATAACCCACTGAAATATTTCGTTATAATCCTACATTAAAACGAAAATATAATTAAGATTGGGTTTGATAAATTAAGTAGAATACATGTAAAGAAATGGTACTTTTAAATTACACTGACAGAATTGCTTATATATGTTATTATTTGAAAACAATGAAATGCCTTTACTAAAATGTCGCAACATGCCTGAGAAATAATGTTTCTGATGGAATTGCACGTTTTCCTCCTATACAAAGTAACAATTATTTAAAAACTAAACAACGAAATGGTTTTTAAGAACACATTTGAAGTTAAAAAAATTCAGAACTTGAAGGAAGTTTCTTGCCAAATTGGCGAATTAAATTACAAAACATGGGCGTGTATAGTGTTTATATGAGTTGTAAGGCAGAAAAAGACATTGCTAAGATAAAAGTATTTTGAACTCTTTCCTTTCCTGATGTAAAAATACTTAGTGTACAAAACACATAAATGCGAAGGTTCTTTTTCTTAAGATATAACACAATCTATCCCTCTAAGTCTTTCATATGCTTTTACCTGCTTATTTGTACTGTTTAATATGCTTTATAATACATATAAGTATTTATCGAATAAAATACACTTTATATATAGCAGAGTAAACAGTACGTAGTGATTCATTGTAAAATATCGGTTTTAATCCATGAACAGCATGTTTATTTAAAGAAATTTGTTACATACACTGGATGCACGGTAAGCGAAGCTATTAGAAAAAAGTCTTTTACAGTTATTACACTGCTGTAGGCACATGTTGCTATAAAACTTGTCACTTTCATTCAATAATTCGTAATTAGTGACAAACTTTCTTTAGCAAGCCATGTTAAGTTTACACAACCTTTTACAACTCACTTGTAAAGCATCTGTACGTCCTATGAGTTGATCGCCATAAAAAGCAACAGAACCTGTGTAGGTGTGACAAACAACAACAGCAACGAAGGTATGTTATCTGTATTCGTGTCATGTCATGGATACGCATGCCATTTTATACATGTTACGGGACATAGCGTGTCTTCAGTTATGAATACATCTGCCGGTAGCTGGATAATATCAAGTAAAGTATTTACCAGTAAGAAAAATTGTTTTGAATGGACTGTGAAATGAACATTGCCAATTTCGATTTATTAAGCATCTCTTTATTAGAAATTTTATAAATGTATTTCAAAAACATATACGTCACTTATGCATACAGGTAATACAAAATTGCGAAGAGTTATAAATTCAACAACTATTTATGGTTAAATTCAAAAAGATGATCCTCATTCTACATTGAAACTTCATATTCTGAAGCGAATACAGAAAGAACGAATACCTAAAGAACGCCCAAAAAAGGAACTTTGAAAATGTTGCAGGCTCGGTTTGATCGGGTTTGTATATGGACATTACTGGAAATAACAATCTACCATCCACGCACGCCCCTAGTACCGACTAAAGCAGAATGGTGAAAAGTTTGAATTTAAATACATCAGCAATGTGTTACATTTTGTACAGTGTCGGATCTCTCAATTGTGGCATATTTTCCTCCGTACTAGTTAACAAAAAATGTAGAAATTATATGGTGGATAAAAGTAAATGAATTGTATTTGTATCAGATAAAATTTTGACATTTTTTACCAGAAAAACACACTTGCAATGGTAAAAAATGAAACCTTTCAGACAACCCTATTTCGACAAAATATGATAAACAAGATCATCAAGGAAAGGCGGCGTTCAACGAACGCAGTCCCCACCCGACCCAGCAACAAGAGCCAGTGGTAAGGAGCTCAGGAGGACCCCAAACAAAAACAGGAAAGGGCATAAGGCAGAGCACGTACATATAGCTGATGACCCCTCGTTATAAAGCATGTGTATTATTATATACAACAGTGACAACGTCTGAATATGAAAATGGTGTATTTCAGAATCAAGTAATATCGCTAGAGGTAACATTTCTGCAACACTTATTCTTGACATTTGCTGATGAAAAGCGTATCGGACCTATCATGTTAAATGAACAACTTGAAACAAGCAGAACTAAATAAACAATGATTTAGATAGGGCGTTTGTGATATTTCAGAAAGGCCATGCAAGGGAAAATTGTGTAAAGATCTTATTCATCTTTAAACTGTTATCTATATATTGGTTTTCAAAAATAAAAATATACAAAATAGTAGGTGTTATGTTTGCTTTATTATGTTAGTTAAGGTATATTACGTAATAAGATAATGCAGACTGAATCGCTTTCCAAAAGATCTACATGCTGGACATGCATCTTCAATATTGCTTATCCCGGTTGTGTCTGAAATAATATATGGAAAGCACCTGAAGTCTTCCTCTATCAGTAAAGATGGAAATCCGTCATATGACCTAAAACTTGTGTTAGTACGACGTAAAGCCTAACAAAACAAAAAGGAACATTTCATTTAAATGTTTTTTATAAATATTGTTTAATTTTTCGTCTTGCTTTGGTAAATACATGTATAATTAGTAATCTAATAGATAACGATGAATGTCATTTTTCGTTTATTGTACAATTAAGACATATTTTTCTATAAGCTTAAAGAAAGCACATCTTATTTTGTCCTCAACAGCAAGAAACAATATAATTCATTACCCTCCAGTCATAAGTATGCATGTGCCATGTATAAAAATGTGCATTATACCAAAAAGGGCCAACATTAGTAATTATCTTTCATCTGACCATATTTTCAAATGTTATAAAAAGTACAAAGTACAAAGTAAATGATCTCTGTACCATTAAACATTCATTTCATTTTCTTAATGATTTAACCTGCCGCATTTAATAAAAGAAATATTGAGACATTTTATACCATAAAGTTAGCTCAATGTCTATATATTGTTACGTCACTTGACAGTTAAGAACACCTGCCAGATAGTAATACTTTTAAATATCTTTACTTATTTAAGCGCTTTTTGTATGCAATTAGTTACAAGCAGTAGCCAAAGTTGTTTATTCAGCATTCATTATAAACTCAGATGAAATTTACATCTACTAAACTTGAAAGACGTTTCTTGGTAGGGCAGACATTCATACGCACAAGACTTTTTACCAAAGCGGACAGGCAAGTAGAAACAATCCATTGTCATGTAAAACGAAAATCAACGCTGATAGTTAAAGGAATTGTTTGTAAAGATAGCTAATCATTTTACTTTCAGAATCATAAAATGTACACTTAGTGCAATATGCCACATTTAATAATCACATTTTATCCTAAACATTTGCCATTATCAATTGCTTGGCGTAAGGGAAGAAAATATTTAGACGGATATGATATAAAGAATTAAATCTTACGAAGTAAATGCATTAAACAATGAAGTTCGTAATGAAATAATCTTTATATTTTATTGATGTTATATTCTAAATTATTTAATATGAACTTTACTAGTGCTACGTATAATAGATGAGTTCCTTGATATGATTTACAAGACAAGGATTAAGACATAATTATATGATGGCGAATGAAAGAAAAGCAATTCTCTCTTTTAGAAATATTTTATTTGTAACAATTATGATGAAAACGAAAAAAAAGCCTTTGAAGTGTAAATACTGGGGCAATAAATGAAATTAGAACCTACTTAGAACGGTTATCATTCATTAAATGTTCACATAACATTATCTACAATCGTAAATGTAGCTCATAGATGTGAGGCTTATGACCTGAAACAACGGCAAATTTGTGTAAAATGTATTTGTAAATATTTTGTTGCATTGTAAGATATTTGAGCAAACTGATGTTATTCACCCAAAATCACTAGTGAGGTGCATATACATGTCACCCCGTCATATCTCATTGTCTGGACTATCATTAAAGTTATAAGCAAATTTTCTTTATAACAACAACTAAGTTGTACTTTCATACCATTTTATTTGACGATCGAGTCGTTCACATTTGTAATACAACAATTGAAACTGCCGTAAACGATACATACGTTACTGTCGCCATTTTATTTTCTGTGTTTAATGATCTTGCCTGTATTTAAAATTCCTCGAGAAAACACATAATCATATAAAATTAACAAGTAACATGATAACTTCTTTTGAAATCAGATTTTTTTATAATAATAATCGATCTCTTATGTAACCAATCTTTGTCTAAACAGGTGTCGCCATAATTATGATACATACGTGAGGCCAAGAAAGGCGGTATAATAAGCGACATATACATTTAAGGGAACTAACAGATACAGTGCTCCGACATATAACAAACCATTTATCAGACTCAGGAAACATTTCTCCTTGCTTCATGGGAGTGTTTTTTTTCAGTTTACCGCTTAAAAAGACTTAACGTTTAAGTGTATAAAACATGCGATACATACGTTAACCATGCCTATATCTGCTGCCTACAAGTATTATAGTTCTGTAATCCCCTCCAAGTTATAAAGTAAACCAAAGTTGATAATTAATTACATGATATGTCGAACATATATGCGAAAGCAAATTCTTACTGATTTCCAAAGAATAAAAAGATACATACGTGATCGATACATACGATACTGACATAATTAAAACAAAGTGCCCCATCAGTATACGTCATCAATGACGCAAGCAATACTTGGAGAAAAGTTATTTACGCGGCCATTTTAAACGTGTGGTTAACAATTCCGTAATATCAAGGAGTTTTCAAAAGAAAGAAATTTGCAGATTTGTATGCGGATTGTAAGGTGAGTAAAATTTTTGATTTTGTTAGAAAAAGTCATGAAATATGAATTTTAGTATTAAACATGATTAGAAGTGTTCCACGAAAACAGTTTATATGCAACAATGTGAACATTGGCGTTGATATATCAGAATAATAAGCATGATACTTACGTTACCTACAGTAACGTATGTATCTTTGTTTTTTTTAATTGGTTTGAAAAGTGGCAACAGTAATAAGATTTCAAAAGTATTTGAATTTTTCATTTGTCATGTTTAAATGAATTTATAAAAGGAAAGGAGTTAAAAAAACGTTTTATTTTGAAAAAGTGTGCCTTTTACATGAATGATGATCACTGCAATTAATTTTTTAACTTGTATATCTTTTTTACTTAACTCCTTAAAACCTGATTCTTCCGTTGATATGTATAATGATATTGCTATAATATAACGCTGTAATAAGACCAGAACAAAATTAAAATAGTCTTTGTGTTATAAGGGCAAGTCAAATTAAATGCATCACAGTATAGTAACGTATGTATCAATACTTACGTGACGAACGTTTCTCATTTCAGAATGGCAAAATCTCGAAGTGAAATTCAAAAAGCATACAGAGAAAGGCAGAAAGCAAAAGGTGCGGCTTTTCTAGAAAAGGAAAGAGCAAGACAACGCCAGTATTATGTACCTGCAGCTGAGCTTACCAGCAAGAAACGCGCTCTTCGTAATAGCAAAAATAAATTAAGAAATAGACTTTGCAGGATTAGGAAACGTCAGCTGCAAGAGGAAAATAATAATAGCAATGTTGACACCAGTGGTTACGAATCGATTAACACCGAATGTGATAGTGAACAGAATAATGACCAAGGACCAAGTGTAGCAAGTCGTCCAAAGCTAATAATCAAAATGCCGAATATTGGAGCAGGTGTTAGGAAAGTAAACGCGCGTGCATTGTCAAGGGCAAACAGAACAATAAGTACATTGAAAGCTGAAGTTGATAAGCTGAAACGCAAAATAAAAACAAAAAATAAGAAAATTGAGCGAATATCCAAGAAAGCTAAGTTAACACAGTCAGACAGCGGTAACCTGACCCCTAACAAAAAAACATTGGCTGATTTGGAAGTTCTGAAACTTACACCGAAAAGAAGGCAAATTGCTAAACGAAAATTGCTAACATGCAATGTATTAATGCATGAAATTTATGAGGCAAAAAAAGCGTCAGGTCAGAAAAAAGTAAACAGCATTCATAGAATAATCTCTGGGAAAGTGGCAAAAAAGTACAGATGTTTGAAAAGTATAAGTCATGGCACAAAAGTAAGTAGACGTTCGTTGGCACGCACTTTTGACAAAAATATTATAAATAGAAAGGAACGTCGTCAGTCGTTATCAAAAGTTGTTGAAAAATCAGTGGTTGAATTTCTTAGTAGGGAAGATAACTGCCGGACTCAGCCAGGAAAATCAGATGCTAAAAAAGTTGAAAATCATAAAGATAAACAACAGACAAAGGTACTGACTGACTACTTAAAAAATCTGCATGACAAATACAAGGCTGAAAATCCAATGAATAAAATATCCCTGTCAACATTCGCACGTCTGAGACCTACAAACATTCTGTTAGCTTCCTTTATATCAAGGAACACGTGTCAGTGTATACACCATCAGAATATGGCGTTAAAGGTACAGTCATTGCGCAAAGCAGGCGTACGCATAAGTGATAACCCAGAAAACCTTATTGTACACAAAGATGACATGGAACAGCTTTTGAACAACCTGCCAGAGAAAATCACGTACCGTGTATGGCAAAAGGTTGATATTGGAAATGGGAAAACAAAAATGAAAATCGTTGATAAAGAAGAGGAGCTTCCAAAATTCAGGCATGATCTGATAAAACAGGTAAACATGTTCGAACAACATGTGCAACGAGTTAGAGAACAGTACCAGCAAGTACGTTTATTAAAGGAAAGTCTTCCAGAAGATGAAATAATGGTACAAATGGATTTCGCCGAAAACTACAGCTGTAGGTCGTTAAATGAAATACAAACGGCATATTGGAACCAAACGATGGTTACAATTCACCCAGCAGTTGCATATTTCAGGGAAAATGGGGAGCTGAAACATAAAAGTTACGTACTTATTAGCGACGAAATGGCACATTGTTCAAGTACTGTCTGCACGTTTTTGGATCACATCATTCCTGAACTGAAAATTCTAAATCCAAGATTAAGCTTTATACACTATTGGACAGACTCCCCTTCATCACAGTACAGAAACAGATATATTTTTCACACGCTTGCAAGACATAAAACGATTTACAATATGGGTGCGCGCTGGAACTATTTTGAGGTAGGCCACGGCAAAGGTCCGTGTGATGGCCTTGGGGGAACTACAAAAAGAATGGCAGACATGGCCATACGCCAGGGCCACGTGCAGATACAGAATGCTGAAGACTTTTATACATGGGGCTCGAACTCAGGTATGTCTGCAAAATTCCTTTATGTCAGCACCGAGGAAACCAAACGTAAGCATGATGAGATGAGTTTGATTAAAATTAAACCACTAAAAGGAACGATGAAATTACATGCAGTTGGTGCACCTGATACTGATGGAATACTCATGACAAGAGAAACATCATGCTATTGCCACATTTGTTTATCCGGATCATATTGTAATTCTTGGAACAAGGAAAAGTTCATTTATGAATCAGATAATGAAACCAGAGGTCCGAAAACAAATACTGTTCCAGATGAAAAAGAACACGAAGAAAGTGTTAAAAGTAATGAAATGGTATCCGATGTTGATACAGAACCATCTGGACCTGATCTTGATAATACTTCTGCTAACAAAGATTTAGAAATTGGTACTATGGTAGCTGCCGTGTATGAAAAGGCTTGGTACATTGGTAAAGTTGAAGATAAAGATGAAGAGGAAGGCGATTATCAAATTAATTTTATGGAAAAAGCAAAAAAGATGTTTAAATGGCCCCAAGTTGAAGATTGCATTTGGCGCGATTCTTGTGACATATTGTGCGTTGTAGAAACATTGCAACCGTCTGGGAAGTCGATGAGACTTTTTAAAATAGATGCTGAAGAAAAAGCTAAAATCGAAAAGTTGTTTAGTTATAAGAAAATGTAAAATGAAGTAAGGATGCTTATATGATACATACGTGACTGTCGTTTGAAAAATTGTATTTAATGTGCATCATGGAAGCTGTTTCTTTGTTCGTGTTAATACTTTTGCTGTTGAATAACGTTTCGGACGTATATGTAACATTTAGTGTTGTTTAAAACCTTTTTTAATGTAAAGATTGTTAGTAAAAAGATTTTGCAATACATACGTTACCCTAAGATTCGAACTGACAATTAACTTTGATATTTAATTACTTTGTTTTCGTTGTGTCTGAAAACTATAGGAAGCTTTACAGTGTAATTTCAGCTTTAAAGCAACCAGAACTTCTGCTTAAAAGTAGATATATATTTACATCAACTAAGAATAAGTCTACGGTGCGTGAATTTTTCAGTAGAATTTAATTCAAGATGTATATATTTACATCAAAATATATTATTTGTACATCAACATGAATAACATCGTCTATTATGGAGCATATTTAACTTATTCTTATTACATGGACACGTTAAAAAGATTTATTATGTATTATAAAAATATAAACGCTGATAATACATACGTTACTTTTAACATGGGTTGTTGAAAGTTGCTATGATAAATGAATAATTAGCAGAACTTCTTTTTTTGTATTGAAAAATAGTTTAGATATAATGTGATGTTTCTTTCAGAAAAAATGCTGATAATAGAGAGCAATGGTTGTCTTGCAAATAAATGTTATTTGAATTGATTGAGATTGTTCCAATAAAGTTTAGTTTTTAAAGTGTTTTCATGTTTGCTTAATTGATAAACCTGGACAAAACTAAGTATTTGGGAAGACAGTTGAATGTATTTGTGTTGCTTCTGCAATTCTAGCTATCAAACTGAAAGAGTTGAACATATTGTACTACATTACTGAATCAACAATAATCGCAATTAAAAAATTGTTCTTGTAGTCACGTAGGTATTTTGATATTTTGAATTATAAAATGGCTGTTACTTTCAACACGTTGTAACTTCCATTAGAGTAATCTTTCATGGTAGAAATTTTGCATGTTTTAGCTAGACATGTTTAGCTTCTGTATATCTTAAAGTTTATTTTTTCATTTTTTTGAAACCTATTTGTGCCTCACTAGTGATTTTAGGTGTAATATTTACAAAATGCGGTTGATTTGAAAATATCAATCAATTAAAGTGTAATTTTAGAAACAAGTCCAATTTAAATCTAGAACTTACAAGTCCTGGCCTCGAGGTTATAAAACTTTTTTCTGAGTTCTGTCTCAAATCTCAGGATGTTCATTGGTCAGTAGAATCCTGTGGCAGTTTCTGATCAATCAGATATGAGCTTGAGCTTGGCGTATGTTTTTATAACCTTGGACCCTGGTGTCATAAATGGAAACACGACTGTGATCCTAGTACGAACCGAACCTACATGTTTTGGGGGTATGTTGCAGACATCTTTATCGCTGGGTTATCACCGCTTTAATCTGATCTATAAAGATAGATCTTCTTCACTAATATTGAGAGAGAAAAAAAGAGAAAAAAAAATCATTATCACGTTTGACAGCAATTTTCTTAGATCGATTAACAGCTATATTTATTTGAGAAGTTTTTTTTAAATGTGAAAGTTTCATTTTGTCCTGGGATAATGATTTGGTCTAAGGTCTTAACGGTACATGGGAAAGTGTATTAAAAGGTAAGTCTGCATATCATCCGAAATATTAGAAGTGTAATAATTATAATACCGGTAATATAGTTTAATTCTAACAAGAAAGTGTACCATCGTTATGGCTCAGGTTGTAAATCAAGGTCACTGTAACTTTTAATGATTTGAACTCAGGTTCAAACCCTTAGCTCTGTCATTTTATTATGATGACGTTGTTGTTTTTTTCCCGTTTTTATTTACTTTGTCTTTTTTTTAGATATGTTTTGTTCTTTTATTTTTTTATTTCTTTCCTTAACTTTAATATATATGGATCAATACAAAAATAATTTTATTATTTTTATTATTACTATTATTATTTAATTTAATTTTTTTTTACATTTCTAATAATGCACTTTCCTGATGATTGATGTTTTCGTCAAAGTCTTATGAGGGATCATGATGAACCAGCATGAAAAGACAATGGATTGTTTCTACCTTCCTGTCGGCTATGCTAAAACTTTTTGTGCAAGTGCAAATTAACCTTTGAACAAAAGTATTCTATCGCAAGCATTTCAAACTATTTGAAAATAAGAAAAGAAATAAGATATATCACTCATACGTTATTGTACCTGACCGTGATTCGAACATGTAAATGCCTGAATACAGCACTGACCAGGACGCTCTGTCTATCAAGGCAATGAAAATATGACGTTTTAGGTTGTCTTTTATTCATTAGGCTTTATTAATCTTTGTTATGTCAACAAAGGCTACAGTCATTTGTATTGAAAAATTATAACATGTTTTATATGAGACGTTTTATTAGTCTTCTGAAGTATTCTCCTGGGTCATAATGAAAACTAATGTTTACTTATGTTCAATGAATTATTCCATAAATTATACAAAACATTTGTATAATCTATACGTATAGCATTGACAGTGAAGCACTTTTAGTAATAGTGTGGTTTGACATCACGTGACCTGTAAATTAGTCACTTAACGCTCACTTTTTAATGTCCATTATTTTGTCATTATTTAAATATTTCGCACTCTCTCATTTTTTTATTGTAGGCAGTAGAGCAGAATATCGCCAAACTCTATGGCAGTCATCCCTATTCCATGACTGATTATTCATTAAGTATTAAATTCTATACCCGATATAACAATAATAATTTATATAAATAAAATATATATAGTATGTAAAAAGACATTATAGTGCATAAAATTTAGCGTCCTTCAACATGTTGTCTGATTAGCAAAAGCTATTTCTTCTTAATTTATCTATGATATAAAACCAATGTAAACGCATTTATAATGTTTTCAACTTATAAAGTACAAAATAAAGATCGACGATAAAATAACAAAAATACTTAAAAAAAACTAAACTTGTAAAAAAAGAAAATTATTTTGTCTAGTTTTTGTAAACATCTAGCGTCTAGACTGGCAGTGCACTTTCAATTGTATTGAAAACACTTATGATATACTCTTACTGATAAAAATAGTCGTTGTCAGTTCGTTTTAGGAATCAATCTTTACAAAGTAGGATTGAGTGGATTTTAATATGTTGGGCTTCAGCCAAGGAAAACACAATCTTGATTCAAACGCAGATATTAATTGTTTAACAAACAAAATCTTTGGCACATTAACCTGAACCTAGATCATTTAACAAGTTAAAAAAAATAGCTTCTAAGATCCAAATGTAAGTGGTAAACATGTTTTGTTACTCGTGCTGTTTTGAGAGTTACACGTAGGCTGCTAAAGCTGATTTCAATAATTACCAAACGTTTGAGCTGTTTCTTTACAATACAAAGTTTCTAAAATTTGTGAATTCTTTGAATTCGATGCATAATAAACATACTTCACTCTTATCAACGGCTTTATATTTATTCTTTTTACAGAAAAATCGCCTTGAGATTATGCAGGTTTTAGATTGATATGTTGATTTTTGTATAGACAATATTTCTTTTAAATTATATAAGAATAAAGCGATTAAAGATATTTTAGAGCATATTAAATTGAAAATGACAAATTTATTTTATAGTGGTATATAATTTATCATGTATACATGTACTACTGATATAACACGGACAATTGATGTAGAAAAGCATGCCTCGCCTACTTCTTATATTCATCCTACATCTTATGTTTCATTAATTATAGTTAGGTGCAAGGCTATTTTCAAAAATTTATTGACCAATTTTGTAATTTGTAAACGGAAGGCAATCAGACGTTAAAGAACAGATCTTATGTAAGAATTAAAAAGTACAAGCTGAAAGGTTTCCTATCAAGCGTTTAACCAAATATATGGAAATGATGATAAATGAGTGTCATTATTACGGTACGGTAAAGAATTTCATATAAAACACCCATTCTGAAACATTACGCAATAGACATGTTATTTTATTTTGAGGGAATTTTATCAGATAATAATCAACTAATGTGTCAATATTTTTTAAAGGTTAATCAGCTCTTTTTCTATTACGTAAAATACACACATACAGTTTTGGCAACACAAAGATGAAACACAGTCAACAAATGGACACTGTTCCAAACAAGACAATCTTAAAAACAATATAGTATCAACACTATTTAACAGAGCCATTTTTATAAACTCTCCTCTTAGACCGACTTGAGTAAAAGTCATTTTCGAATTCTACATATGGAAATGGTGTTTTTCAGAATTTAGTTAATCTTTCTGCAACAGTTATGCTTGATAAGCGTATCTAATGTATCATACTTAATAACAAATTGTAAAATCAACATTACAACAAACGGGAACTTTAACATCAATGATTTAGACAAGGTAATTTCGAGTTTTATTTATGTACTATAAAAAAGACCTATCAAGAGAGAATAATGTTATGTAATTTTTAATTACATTTTCAATGTTTTAGCGTTCATACAAGTGGAAATAAGCATTGTATAACGTTGTCATTCATTTTATATTGATCAGATGATTAGACAATAGGTATCAAATTTGCGTGCATTATTGTAGAATCAAATGCGTAAGAATATAATCACGAAGGCCGATAGGCATGATAAAGCATTACAACGATAAAATTAATATCTATGTGCGCCAACATTTGTGACAGTTATAGCAGTAATTAAATCATCGCTTACAATGGAAATATGTAAACGTTACGTTTATAAACACACGTCTCTTTTTATTTTAAAATTACAAATTTTTAAAAGATGAATCAAAATATACATTGAAAGAATTTTCAAAGTAATATTTAAACAATTTGTTCATACAATTGTTTTCATTTTTATAAAGTGAAGCATGCTTCCGTTTTTTAACCAGTTTGAAATTCAAAAATATTCATATTCTTACTGGAAACTAATTTCTATCGCATCTTCGCATTTTCTATGTGAGTTTTATTTGTATTTTATGGAGCACATATCATCAAGTGTTACAAACATTGCATTATTATATTTGATAATATATAGATAAATACAAAATTACTATAAATTTAAGTTCTGCATTTTTTTTCATAATCGATCTGCGTACTTTTAGTTCTATAATTTATGAGAATGATACTGCTTTATGATCATTCGTTAAATAGTATTTATCAATATTTTTCTCATCCACACACATTTACTACAAATTGAAATTATCACCCAAATTGCATCATGTTTGATAAGAACACCACTTCTTTAAATACAACAAATATACTGAAAGATAGATTACGTATATTTTGTTGATATTCGTTTTCAAATGTTTGTATTGCTTTTCATAGAATGAAGATATATTGTTCTCATGTCCGAGATAATTTCACCAACCGCAGTCAATCTAAGTATTTACTATCATCTATGAGTTGCTGTGTGTGTCCAGTTTAAAGTATGTACAGTGCACCTGTCAGTTAATGGTGCGTCTAAATTGCATTACCACTTGGACAGCTTTTGTTTGTATGTAATCATTTACAAAGATTAACTCAAAATGATTCCAGTGATATTTTGTTAGAAACTCGTGTGAAATTAGCGTTTTCTAACTTGAAAGACGTTTCTTGGCAAACGTACATAGGAAAATAAACATACGCGAATCTAAAACTTACAACACATTTGGTATCAGAGCGGACAAGCAAATGAATAATAAGTCTGAGAAAAGATAAAATTCACATAAGACGTTATGCTGTGATATTAAAACTAATTGCTAATGATGGAAAATGCGAAGATGCAACCATGGTACGTAACAAATGAATATTTTTGAACACCAAACTGGTCAAAAGTAGAAGCATTCTTCACTTTATAAAAACAAAAACAATTTTATGAACAAATTGTTTAAAAAAATACTTTGAAAATGCACTAAATGTATATTTTGAAACATCCTATAATGAAAGGTAATATAAAAAGTTTAAATTTTAAAGTTATCTAACTTTTTTGTATATATAAAAAATAAAAGAATTGTATAAACGTAACTTTTCCTTTTTTCTAT